TATTCACCTGAGTACACTACATCAACACAGAAAAAAATTCATATTACAAGAACACATTGGTATTGAAGGAACTAGATATTGTTCCGAAATATCACTTACTCGAACCGTCCTGACCGCGTAGCTCAGTTGGAAGAGCATTGGGCTAGTATTTCAAAGGTCGTAGGTTCGAATCCCACCGTGGCCGGGCATATTTTTCAAGCTCGCCCGGTGTGGATATACACTCAGAGTAACACCACAAATATTATATTCACCTGAGTACACTACACCAACACAGAAAAAAATTCATATTACTAGAATACATTGGTATCGAAGGAACTAGATTCTGTTCCGAAATATCACTTACTCGAACCGTCCTCACCGCGTAGCTCAGTTGGAAGAGCATTGGGCTAGTATTCCAAAGGTCGTAGGTTCGAATCCCACCGTGGCCGGGCATATTTTTCAAGCTCGCCCGGTGTGGATATACACTCAGAGTAACACCACAAATATCATATTCACCTGAGTACACTACACCAACACAGAAAAAAATTCATATTAATAGAATACATTGGTATCGAAGGAACTAGATTCTGTTCCGAAATATCACTTACTCAAACCGTCCTGACCGCGTAGCTCAGTTGGAAGAGCATTGGGCTAGTATTCCAAAGGTCGTAGGTTCGAATCCCACCGTGGCCGGGCATATTTTTCAAGCTCGCCCGGTGTGGATATACACTCAGAGTAACACCGCAAATATCATATTCACCTGAGTACACTACACCAACACAGAAAAAATTCATATTACTAGAATACATTGGTATCGAAGGACTAGATTCTGTTCCGAAATATCACTTACTCGAACCGTCCTGACCGCGTAGCTCAGTTGGAAGAGCATTGTGCTAGTATTCCAAAGGTCGTAGGTTCGAATCCCACCGTGACCGGGCATATTTTTCAAGCTCGCCCGGTGTGGATATGCACTCAGAGTAACATCGCAAAGATATTAAATTCACCCGAGTACACAACACCAACACAGAAAAAATTCATATTACTAGAACACATTGGTATTGAAGGAACTAGATACTGTTCCGAAATATCACTTACTCGAACCGCCCTGACCGCGTAGCTCAGTTGGAAGAGCATTGGGCTAGTATTCCAAAGGTCGTAGGTTCGAATCCCACCGTGGCCGGGCATATTTTTCAAGCTCGCCCGGTGTGGATATACACCCAGAGTAACACCACAAATATCATATTCACCTGAGTACACTACACCAACACAGAAAAAAATTCATATTACTAGAATACATTGGTATCGAAGGAACTAGATTCTGTTCCGAAATATCACTTACTCGAACTGTCCTGACCGCGTAGCTCAGTTGGAAGAGCATGGGGCTAGTATTCCAAAGGTCGTAGGTTCGAATCCCACCGTGGCCGGGCATATTTTTCAAGCTCGCCCGGTGTGGATATACACTCAGAGTAACACCACAATTATCATATTCACCTGAGTACACTACACCCACACAGAAAAAAAATTCATATTACTAGAATACATTGGTATCGACGGAACTAGATTCTGTTCCGAAATATCACTTACTCGAACCGTCCTGACCGCGTAGCTCAGTTGGAAGAGCAGGGGGCTAGTATTCCAAAGGTCGTAGATTCGAATCCCACCGTGGCCGGGCATATTTTTCAAGCTCGCCCGGTGTGGATATACACTCAGAGTAACACCACAAATATCAAGTTGAAACTTGTTTAAAATGTTCTTGATACCATTTTCTCTGAGATGATTTACATTTTTTGTAGGATATCGACGAGATCGCCGATAAACAGCGGAGTGAAGTGGAGAACTTGGCCAAATACGTCCATTTGCAGGAGGTAGGCACATTTCAAATTATTATTTCGGTCAGAAAATATTTACTATTTTACACCAAACCAGTGATAATATATTTAAATAAGTACCATTTATGTTTCTATCAAAAAGATTTCGGGAAAAAGGTTATGTAAGTCCACTGCTGTTTATCTAAATTTGCAAGCCACAAATTGACGTTTAACTATGATTATTGCATGGCCATTTTCATGTGAAATATTAGTGCTAGGCATTTCACACTTGCCAATGACCACCCCCAAAAGTACCATCTCTGAACCATGTAAGCACCTCAGAATAGCCAAAGCTTTTTTATGGTTTGGTAGGTAGCAGTATGGCGAAAGCGTCGTTTTTGGGTGTGGTCAGTTTCGGACGTTTCGTCCCGGATTGGGGTTCGGGTAGCATTACCATGTTGACCGTCATGGTGAACTTGCCCTAAAACAGTTGAGATTATTTGTCCTAAATGAAATGCATACAAATTCATATACAGGTTCTAGACTAAACAAGCACAGTAAGCACAGAAATTACATATTCCAATGCAATTCAGTAAATATGTTATACAAAATGCTATATAATTTTCGCAAAACTGATATTCTAAAACACTCGGGAATTCAAAGAGGTTAAATATGCCTTTCATTTCCTTTCAGACAATCAGTTTCAAAAGTCTTGGGACAGATGCCACAAAACGTTTGAATTTTAACAAACGTCAATCCCCCGCCCCCCTGTACGTTCAATCTTGTGTCCAATTTCTCGTCATGTTTGACGTATTTTGGTTTAAGCAAGGGGGAAGGGGGAGAGGCGGGGGGGGAGCGGTATTGTGTGTAAAAACCTGTAATGATCAACTTACAATCTAAGACTATACGTGTCCCAACAACTTCTGAAAGTGATCGGTAGACTTTCTTTCCTTTCCGTCCAAAGTACGTACGTTGAACTTGTCAACGATATTCTTTATAATATACCCTTACTTGTCGGTATTCCACAAACGGGAAATACATAAGCTATGATTAACCATGTACTTTACAAAGTAAGAAAACTTTCTAAAATGATTGATTAAGATAAACACACAAGCCAAAATCTCAATCAATAATCTATTAACATATTCCAAGAATGAGAAATATGACATCGTCTGAGAATATAAGCAGATATTGATAAGGATAAATTTCGGATGCCAATCTTTTGCCACTAAATAGGCTAATAAAATGGCGGACTACAAAACAATCAAAAACATTTCAGCGCGCAAAGCATCATGGCATGACTTTGATTCTTTAATAAGTAAATGAGATGCAGAATCAAGTTTGAGATGCAACAACAGGTCGACGCATAAGACTTTGGGGCTGTTTATAGTAATATTTTAGTGCCGATTCCCGAGCTAACTGGCTTCCCAGAGATGAATTTCATCACGCGTTTACATGAAACTTTTGGGGCGGGCTGACTTGTGAAACCAAATGCAAATTTTCGCGAGAAAGTCAGATGCAATTTTGAGCATTCGCACAAAGACATTTCATTTCACGATGTCGAAGCAACAAGCTCCCAAGCGCAGTACGCGAAATATCTCTATTTCTGCCCAAAATACACCAATGAAAACGGAAGAAACGAAAAGAAGAAAGAACGTAAAAACACCAAAGACACATTATTTTACTTAAAAGCCGAGCAAGCTCAGGTAAATGCGTTTATATGGAAAACTACTCAGCCTGTTTACCCAAACAAATGGTCAATGTTTCTACCAGAGCTGACAAGACTCTTGATCTAATTATCACCAACTTATACTCGTTTTACGCTAAAGACTCTGTAGAGAAACATCCTCCTTTTGGCTTCTCAGATCACAATGTGGTCATTTTAAACCCTAAAAACAGATGCGATAGATCTGGTAGTCGAAAGGTCGTCATAAGTAGAGACATGCGTCCCAGTAAAAAGAGCGAACTCGGAAGATACCTAACCTCCTGTAATTGGTCCATCCTAAATCAGCTTGAAACCTGTGAAGAAAAACTTGAGCTTTTCACTGATCTTATTAACCTGGGTATCAATATCCTAATGCCCAAAAGAAGAATAACACTACATGTGAATGATCCCCCTTGGATCACAGCTAATTTTAAGATTCTTATAAAAAAACGCGAAACAGCATTTTCTAACGGCAATAACGAACTGTTTAGGTATTACCGCAACCGAGTTAATCGCGAAAGAAAAAAATGCCGTGAAATGTTTTATTCGTTGAAGGTTGAACATCTAAAAAAGTCAAAACCAAGTCGTTGGTGGAAAGAAGTAAAACAGATTGCTGGTATGACCCCCTCAACGGGAGCGGAAGATCTATATAACCAAATTTACATTGACGATATTGACCGGAAGTCTCCAAATGAGATTGCAAATCTCATAAACACAGCCTTCCTAGAACCCATGAAAACTTACCTACTTCTTACTTCTCTTCCCTCCTACGATCCAAATGACTCTGTCCGTCATCTCGACGAATTTGATGTGTATAAAGGGCTTGCGTCCCTTAACTCCAGAAAAGCCTCAGGCCCAGACGGTGTTCCGAATTGGGTGTTAAACGAATATGCAGAAGTCCTCGCCCAGTCTGTCAGTTCTATTCTCAATAGCAGTTTTAATGAACAACGACTCCCTGCCTCGTGGAAAGCAGCTGACGTTGTTCCAGTCATAAAAACGAAACCGGTAACCGAAATTTGTAAACATTTAAGACCAATATCCCTCACCCCAGCCCTTTCTAAAGTAGCAGAAGAATTCGTTGTTTCTAAATACATTGGGCCAGCTATTCTGTGTCAAATCGACCCCAACCAATTTGGAGTGATACCAAAATCCTCTACATCTATGGCAGCGATGTCAATGATCCACAATTGGTCCCAATCAACTGATGGCACTGGCGCAGCAGTCAGAGTAGTCCTGTTTGACTATAAAAAGGCGTTTGACCTTATTGACCATTGTATACTCGCTGATAAGATCTCCAGATTACCAATTCCGAAGGCAGTCGTACGCTGTACTATTGATTTTCTATTGAACAGAAAACAAAGAGTTAAACTTGCAACCGACTGCGTTTCAGAGTGGGGTGCTGTCCCGGCTGGTGTCCCTCAAGGCACGAAACTTGGTCCATGGCTTTTTCTATGGATGATCAATGATCTTAAAATCACTGAAGTATCTACTTGGAAGTATGTCGATGATACAACCGTTTCTGAGGTTGTTAAAAAAGGCGATACCAGCAAAGCCCAAGACGCAGTTACCACAGTAGAAAACTGGTCGAATTCCAACAGATTACTTCTTAATGCAGATATTGTTAAAGAACTCCAAATCGACTTTAAATCCACGAAACAGAACTTCGACCCTCTTACAGTCTACGGGAAGAAATTGCCGGTTTCCAAAACGCTAAAATTCTAGGCCTCACCATCTCTAGTAACTTTAAATGGACTAACCACATTAACGAAATCATCAAAAAAGCTAACAAACGTCTTTATTTTATTATCTTACTTAAGCGCGCAAAAGTCAGTCCGAAAGACATTGTAAACTTCTACTGTACAGTTATCAGGCCCATTTTGGAATATTGTGCCCCGGTTTTTCATTACTCAATCCTATCCTTCCTGTCAGAAGATCTTGAGACGGTACAAAAGCGAGCGCTGAAGATCATTTTACCCGCGAACTCATATAGCGAAACTTTAGAACATTTCAATCTTCAAACTTTGTTCCAAAGACGCGAAGAAATGTGTAACAAACTTTTTACAAATATTACTAGCGATCCGACACACAAACTGCATAATTTACTGCCTCCCAAACATGAGTCGGTTTACCAACTTAGCCGAACAATAGACTGTTTGAACGATTCGAAACTAATACAGTAAGATTTAAAAAAACTTTTATTCCTATGTCTAGTAACTTAAGTTAATGTAATTTTTAGTACTAAGCGTTTTAATGACCATTTGTAAATATGCCTAATTAACTCATATTCTATCTTTTAAATGATGTTTTATATACTCTTGTAAATCACGCAATTCAGCTGTCCAGCTGCAAGGTGAATTTTAAATACACTATCTATCTATCTATCTATCTATCTATCTATCTATCTATCTATCTATCTATCTATCTATCTATCTATCTATCTATCTATCTATCTATCTATCTATCTATCTACCCGAGGTCTCGGGTCACACAAAGCGGGACCTGCATGGGTTAGGCGGGCCAGCTCGGTTCTCGTATAAACGCAAGATGAAATTTAGTAGGACATATTAACAAAGACGGATTCGATCTCGCCTTAAGGCGCATTTCCAGTTCTCGCACGAAGCTCCTCGCTGCTCGCTGCGAGTTCTCACACGAATTTCATTCCGTTTCCACGACACGCAACCGTACGCCAATCTTGCAGCTCATGACATGCCCGTTCGCAGGCTCTGTATAGTGGCGGGAAGAGTTCAAAGTTCATAATGGCGCATAGCAAAAAAGCAACTGTCCTGTTTCTGTTTGTGTTATTATTGCGAAGTCGACGAAAAAGACGTACCAAATACCTAAAACGGTTTTGGGTAAGACCAATATTCCAAAAGGGAGCACAATTTCGTGAATTTTTTACATTAGTTAAAGA